CACACACACACACACACACACACACACACACACACACACACACACACCAAGGTGTAACCATCTGTCTAACCATCACAGGAGACCAAGATATGCAGTGTTGCTGATCCTCCAACTGGGCTGTCAATTGGGAGGAAGCATGTTTGAAGTTGTTTTCCAAGAAAACGTTGCTTTGAAAGCAAGCGAGTCAATAGGCTCACTTGAGTTCACAAAAATGTCAAAAGATTTACAAAAATAGCTGACATTTCCTGTCTTTTCATTTTTTATTATTCTAATACAGACTCTTGAAAGTGCTCCAATCTTAAAACTATATTTAAGAAACATTCAATTTAACCTACAAGGACGCCAACGGGATCCTCTGATTATCTTAAGCCTTGTTTTTCATGTTATCTTAAGACATTCTTGGATCCCGACCAATACACCCCCCGAGTGTGAAGTACATCGGACGCAATATGCGAAGGACATACACACACACGTATAAAGAGAGATTCCTTGCATATAGTCCATCTATTAGCCAAATATCACCAAATTTGTCATGGTCACTCAAACATCATATCAACACATGTGCAACAAATTTGGCTGTAGCACAAAGCGTCTTGGTGGTATCAATTATTTTGTAATATGAGCCCTTTGAGGGCCAGCTGTAGAAAAACTGAATGGAACATCAAAAATCCCCCAATAATCTTTTTTTTCGGATTGGCCAACAGATGTTCTGTACCAAATTTAGCAACTCAAAAGCTCAAAATTTGTAGGAGGAGAAACAAAAATCTTAATGTGAATTGGGCGTATATGGATAGATTCGTCTGGGCCCACAGATGCGAGGAAGAAAATAATGTTTTTGAGACTTATGGTTCAAAAGCCAAAGCGTGAGGTTTGTTATTATAGCACCACCATTTGGCCAAATAACATCGTATTCGACAGAACACTCCCTTGGGTCTCCGGCAATACATCCACCTAGTGTGAAGTAGATCGGACGAATAGCTTCCAGCGTTATTAGAGCTTGACTGGTTAAAGTAAATCCGTTGAAAACCCATTTAAGGTGAGCTCATGAATTCCGCCATCAGTCACAATTGCCGTATCGGGTAAACCCCGTCCTTCTACTTTAGTATCTGAGACGGATTTACAACTAATACGAGACCATGTTGGTGTTCTCGTCAGCTTGCATATTGTGCTGACAGTCGGTCCTGACGGCGTTTGGTCTTTGTACTCACAGCTCTCTATCTCCAGAGTGCAGTTCTGTTCGTCCAGGGGATACCTCCTGAGATCCATCATGCATGCTGCTGTTGTAGTTATCCTGAACAAAGAGACACATAGGAGGAATGAGAGGGCGCAGGAGAGAATATGTTAGACACTGTATGCGATTTACACAAGTTGTAGCGGAAGGAAGATGGATAGGAAGGAATAAAGAAGGAAAGGGTGACTATCGCACTTTATTTCCCATTTGAATTGTTGTTATAAAAATAGCAAAGCAGGCAAGTAGTTACTTAACAAGGATACGGGACTGCGGGAATATAATGACATTAAAGCATTAAGATGATAGCACTTGACTTTGTCCTATCATCTTTAAAGGAAACCAAATGTCCATTTGTCTTGACACTAACTTCCTCAGTTGGCGTCATATTACCGGCGAGTATTGGCATTGGCATCTTAAAATAAGATTAAGGCACCTCCTCCGAGGTAAAATGCTGACTGCGTAACTGTACACATAATCATGCTATAGATCACAGACGGAAAAGCAGTCCTCACTCTTGTGTTTTAAATCTGCCCAGATCCCCCAAAACAAACCCTCCATCCAGTGATTACGTGAAAATGTGTGCAAATAAAGATGATATTAATGCAGCACATGTTGGCAGAGTTTAGTGCCTGCTCATCTGAACTGGGTCATGAGGAGGTATCCCTTTGTTTATTAGATGTATGAGCTCACACAGTTAAAATAAGCAGCAAAGTGAAAAATGCAAATTGAGAATGATTTTAGGCTAAGTCTGCCCTGATTAACTGCTTGGCAGTTAGCCACTCGATGTCTTCATTCAGTTAAGACTCATGAGGCTGTGAAAAAACCACATTAGGTGTTATTATTATACAGCTAAAATTAGCAACATATACATGGTGTCTGCAAGATAGAGATGTATTGTTATTATTGTGACTTCCAATATATGTCTCAGTTTGATACCATTTATAATATCGATGCTCTTTGAAGCTTGTCTGTTGTTATCACATGAATACATTGTATAAAACATATAAATGAACAAATGAATTGGGAAGTGATTTAATACATTTCTAAAACATAAGTCATGATTCTTATTTTCTAAATAATTGTTTTTTTCTTAATGTTATTTCCTGAGTTACCTTTTATTTCATAATGTCACTTTTCATGACAGTGTCAGCAGTCACCACCGCTACCTCTCTCTCTTAAGCTTCACAAATGCTACAAAATGTAGCCAGTTAGCTCCTGTTAGCCAGAGCAACAATGTCAAAGTAATTCTGAATACACCAAGTAGTACTGTTACTGTAAATAAACACAGTACTAACTAACTTATCCTTTTATTTAGCTTAAAAAGGTTGAAAATGCTACCTACCCAGCCTGCTAACTAGCTATGTGGCCCATCAAAGCAAAGAGCTAGTGTTACCGGTTGCAACTAACGTTAGCTGGTTAATTCAGAGTTATTGAAATTTGTGCTCTTTCATAAATACACCTCTACTTGGTTGCTCTAGCCAACCAGAGCTAGCTGGCAATTAGCGAGCTAACTAGCCGCTCACATGTAGCAGCAAGGTGACAACTCCACTGTGATGAAGAGTGACATATAATCAAAATGGCCATGAGAGTATGTGAAGTAATACATATGTTGTGATGTTGATAGAGTTTATAAAGTAAATGATTAATGTATTGATAATAATCGGTAGTCGCAGCCCTAACAAATCTTGGATACCATGATGTGACTGTATTCAGCATGTTACTCAGCCTTACCTGGCATCCATTTATTGAACAGCTCATATCACAAACACCACGTCACACATCTCCCTCTGCCTTTGATGTCTTGAAAAGCATTGACAGGCCTATAAGTAGCCCACCAGGCTAAGTGCTATGAACTCCACTTGCATAATCAAGCACGACTGTATGACTGTAAAGTATGAACACTGACGGATGCAAACGCAAGCATGCAAGTATGCATGCAACACACACACACACGCACACACTTTTTGTCTCTGTACTCTAATAATTCAAAGCATGCATCCATATTCATAGGTCTCACTAACTCGTCTGAACCTGCCTGTCGAAAAGATCAATGGAAATTCAAAACAAGGGCTTTATGAAACAAATATCAAACAACAGCTGCAAGCTTCACATTGCATTAGGGCACCGTCCAACCTGTTCAGACTTCATTTCATGGGTGATCTCCGGCTGCACCCTCCCTCCCTTAAACATCTAATGCCGGGGTGCCCTTGAGCACGACACGTAATCCTCTGGCTGCTCAGCGGCCAGCAGCAGACAACTGCCAAGTTCTCAACAGGGGCAACTGTGGTGCCGTAATAGGGCTTTAAACACATAGAATGAACTTGACACTGGGAAACGTCAGAGAACGTTCTTGGCCCCGAGCTTCACTTTGTTGCCTGTTGTGGGGAGTGTTGCTCGATTGCATGGCCCAGAAATCGCACATTATATATTATAGATTACATAAACTCACTCCCGGCACTACACTGAAAAACACACCAAATAGTTACATGTCGAGTCAGTTAGGTTCTTTCTGTTTTTCTTATTGTACACAAGTGTGTTTTTGTGCCCCCCAATACCTTCTTACTTCCCTTCTCCGACTGTGACCCACAGCCCCAAAGCCATCGGTGAAACCGATCACAAGTATAAAGTTTTATTTGTAAAGAAGGCTGAGATATTTTCTAAAACACTATCTTTTAGCAGATGCTACTCAAACTGGAGGAAATAGTGTATTTGTTGGGGACTATTTTCAGTTGTGGATTAATACACGTTTGGAGAATCTCCGGCAGCAGTAGAGTGTGTGTGGAATTCAAAATAAACTGCAGTGCCGAGGTTCATGGTAATGAAGTGATGATGTGTTTTTAATAGTTTTGGGGCAAAAATGGAGCTCTATAGCACTGAGGACTAACATATGGTCGGATCAGTTCTTTTTTGGTTTTGGTCTTTGCATCGTCTTAGGATTTGTTGACGATTAAAGAAATATAGAGAATTTCGCCACCCTTTTTCTTACTTTTTCCAATTCAAAATTTGGGCAAATAGGGGGGGCCCGTGCGGATGGCAAAGCAGAACCCACCTGAGGCCGTAGAGAACGGTTCCATCAGGATGCAGGCGGATCATGCGGTTTTTGACGGTGACTCCGTGGACGAACGACTTCTTGTCATTGAGGAAGTAGGTGTCGGGGACCCAGAGCTGGTCGGCGACCCTGTTGTCCAGGGTCAAGTTGAGGGGGATTCCTATGTAGGCCAGACGCTTGTCCCTCCAGTACTGTTGGAAATACATGGTCAACGTGTAGTCCTGTGGAGACAAACACGGGAAGAGACAATAAGAGTAGGTCACAGCTGATACATACGTTTATTTAAATTATACAGACACTGCAGACCTCCAAAGCAAATATTAACCGCTCTGAAATATTAACTCTGCCCATTCCCTGCTGTTAGTGCTCCTAATATTTATATGATGTCCCACAGCCTCCTACAAGCTGGACGGAGTGTGGGCCAAGTGGTCCACACGCTGCAGCCAACCCCCCCCCCCCCCCATACAGTAATGTGCCATTGTACAACAAGCGTGGACATGCTGACTGACTCATGTAGCTGCAGCCTTAGTGGAAAATTTCACCTATTCTATCAACAGTAGCATATTCCCAGTATAAGCAGTGATTCACAGAGCCTGAGAGCTGAACTGTAATGGAGCCCAACAGATTTTTAAACATATGTTGCCTTTCATTTAATCAAATAGGCGGACTCCAGAGATTTTTTTTCCTCACAAATACATTAAAATATTGTCAACTATTAATATCCAATGCCTTCTTTACTTTGATTTTTGTTCATGCAGTTTTGCTAAATGCTAAGCTACTGTTATTTCCACTCCTTATGGGACCCAAATGGAAATGCGTAGCTTCAGTGACACTTTATTGTTCTATCCTCTGAGATCATCTCTGATTTCTTAAGCTAATAGGGATTTCCACAACCCCCAAAATGGTCATCAGTCAATGACTATTCTCCTATAAGTCACCTCAAACTACATTCTACAAACGGGCTTCACAGCAGAGTTAATTATTGGTTTGGTCTGAAAATCACTTACGTGTTTGCAAACATGTACGCTTTGGAGAGTCTTTGTATCGGTCTCTGTGGCAAACCCTCGCCATCTGGCACCTAAACCACATAAGCATTGGCAAGACCAGCCATGGGGATACTATCAGTTCTGGGATACCGAGCATTTTTTTAGGACGGTTGTGTAAGAAAAATAGGACAGTAAGAAATATGTTTGTGTTTTTGCCTTGATTCAAGTAGTATTTGAGCAGAACGGAAGAAGCAGCGGCGATAGAGGACAGAGCCCCTCCCTTCTTCCCTCCACATCACATAATCCACTTACCCAAGCTAACAGTCTCTCTTCTCTATTTCTGTATTTCTCAGTCTGTCTGCACCTCTCTCTCTTTCTCTCTCCCTCTCTCTCTCCCCCTCTCCCTCTCTCTGGGCCATGCCATGATCTTGCCCACTGTGGCGTTGAAATGAAACCAGCTGAGCTGGCACCGGCAAAGGCACACATGTCCGTCGGTGCTGCAGATTTCAGGTTCGCCCCAAACAAAAACAATTTAAATAAAACAAGGATTAAAACGGCCACTGCTACGAGCACGGCTTCCCAAAACAAAAAATGCAGATTACGTAACCGTGGTAGTTATTTGTCTCAACACTGTGTTATTACCAGAGCCGAGAAAACACTTGAGGTTTTTGCATTTGCAGGAGAGAAGAGAATGAAACACGATTATGGCTGCGTGTTAATTATTTATTCCTTTTATTATTCTTCTTTTTCTTCATACTCGATGAGCATGTTTTCCAGGATTGGTGAGCGCACAGAGTGAACAGGGAAGCTCTTAGTCAGCACAGGATCCAGATTGGTCCCCCAGCATGAGGAGGAAAGCTCACTGGCACTGAGCCATAAATGTACCGTGGTGGAACCAGGACCTGTTTGGTGTCCGCAGCCAAAGCCATAGCGATGGAGCCATTCTGCTTGTGGCCAGTTATTACCAATCATGTGGGAATATACTAATATTCCAAAAAATGTGGTATTACGATAGCAATTACCTTTTGTGATTTGAGGATTTGCTGCTTCTCTCTCTTTTATATCATTATATAAAACAAGCAATCTTAAGACGTCATCATGGGCACTGGGAACCATTTTTCACGATATTCTGTTGTTTTTTAAAATCAAAATGCTTTATCAATCGAACAATAAAGTAATCAATGGATCCATCAATGATGAAAATGATCAGAAGTTGCGGCCCCAGAGGTATGTGTGGCAGACAGTGTCTTTCCTTAAAAATCCCACTGGTCATTTTACCAATTAATGAGTAAAGACACCTCAAATATTACAGTACAGTACTGTAACTGCAGCAGACAGGGCTGGATTGCTTTATCATGACCTCCACTGGATTACAGTAAAAAGATTAACTGCAAACTTTTTCGGGAATGTGCACCTTAAACTCATAGCTCCTGAAACTATATGAGACTTCAAGGGGCACGCCACCAATTTAGATTATGAAGTTACGTTTACCTGTCATCAGGAGTACCAGTCAGCTTGTTAAAACAGCTGTGCAATAGAGCGTCCTAAAACCCTGGAATTCGTCAACATATTTGCTCCTCCTGTTCCTTCGTTTTAGCGTCAATGGGTTTTTTGAATGGGTTTTTGGTTTTGATGCCTGCAATAAGGTCTGTGGTTAAGACATTTCTAACATTTTTTTCTGAGACATAAAATACGTCAGAAAATAGGCCTCTCGTGAATTTGAAGCTTTTACGCGTCCTAAAAACCTCTCGGTTTAGGTTTGACACCAAAACATATCCTACAAGAAGCTTGGGTGTGGGGTTTAAGAGGCAGGGGGCCTAATAAAGGATGCTATTGAGTTGCATTATGGGAAATGTCGGAGGCTGCTTTGGAGCTGGACCAATTCCAGGGACTAAAAGTCAGGACGTCTCCGCTTCAATTATGACAATTCTTTCTCAAATCTGTCCCTCTTGAACTTTATGGTCCTTTACAGTCCTGGTTGGGGCTGTGGGGGAAATACAATGAAGCTGCTGAGGTAGTCTGTTGTGTAAACTGCACTTAATAGGTTCTTGAAAGTGACAAAATGCACACTGAGTGGGAGGAAGCGGGGGAACAGGTGCCCAACAGCTCTTTTTGTGGCTGCAGAGGCCCCAGGCAGGTTAATCCAGCCATTATACAACAGGGACTACTTTCTCTTGATTCCATAGTAGCAGAGGACCTAAGGCCCCTACTATTGAGATCCTCCTACCCAAGGTGGAACCGAGCACAAGTTAGTTCAGTCATACCAGAACTTCAGAGTACGGTACTGAAGGCTTTTTTGCAACAGAAAGATGTTTTCAACTCGTTTCGGCAAGAGTTTGATAGACAGATGGTTCATCCAATCATCTGCCACATCATATTTTTTTTTAAAGTGCCACGCTCTTTCCCCAAACGGTTTCCAATGACGGCTTCTCAGATGGTTCTGTTCAACAAACCATCTGGCTGGTCAGGTTAGTTTGGATCTCGCCTCACCCCAATTTGGACCGGACGATCACAGACAGTCACTGCAGTAAAGCAATATATACACTGTACAGCTCTGGCCGATGAAGACGGAGTCAACCATTCCTCTGTTCCTTTAAGTGAATAAATCCATGTCAATTTCCAGGATTTTATGACATAAAGGGCAACAAGCATTATCAGTCACAGCCTCATTAAGGGGGTCAATGTGGATTGATCACAGCCCATGTCCCCCATCACCATAGCTTTACACCCCATCAATCCTTACAAATGACTAATGTCACATTCACACCGCCTCGTTTTGACCCCTTATCACATCACTCTTCCCAGCCCCTAGAGCGGTGTCGCACTCTCAGTGTGTATTTCAGTGTCAGCATGTGGGCAGCGCAGCGAGTGAGCGGCAACAGCGCGCACATGGGGCATAAATGATTCAGATTAACTGTGTAGCCTGTACAAACACGAGGCGAAGGAGCCCTTGTCAATGTTGCATGGAGACAATCAAATCGAATTTCAGTTGAGGACGGGTGCAGCTTTGCAGTACCTGCTCTGCGACTAGGGGGACTCTGGTTCTCTATGAACTAGGTCTGTGGATTATGAATTATTGACAACCCCTCCCAACAGCACATGAATTCCCACAGCTGCGCCACTGCCGGTGGGGTTATTAGCATATGTTTTTCAGCAAGAGATAACAAGAGTGACCAGTGGAGATGATTTCCAGCAAGCCCCAATTATTCAATTAAGTCGACTGGGTAATCGCTTTTCATTCAGGCTGTGTGAGAATTCAGATAAGCAGGGTCTTGGCTGCGAACTGACCCATATTCAATTTAATCTCTCTCCCCCTCTCTCTCTCTCTGCGGTGCCGGTGCACCGACTGCTGCGCCGTGATACCGCCGCTATGAGGAAACATCCCACTAACATTGTTTGTCCGTTTATTGCCAATGTATGTAACATACAAGGAATTTGTCATGGCAGGTGGTGCATAACATTAGACAATAACATTGAACAATAAACAACAATCAACAGTGCAAGAAATAGAGACATATTAAAATTTACAATCGAATTTAAAAGAATATAAAATAAAGTGCACGACAAACAGATAACAGGACTGTAAACAAGTGTAATGTAAAAGTGACAAGTGTATTTAAATATGAAGGGATGTGCAGGGGAGTATTAGGGAGGGAAGAAAATTGTCCTGGGGATGACAGAGTCAGTGGGGGACCCGGGCTCTGTTAATGAGCCCGACTGCAGACGGGAAGAAGCTGTTCGTGTGGTGTGAGTTCTTGGTCCTGATGGACCTCAGCCTCCTACCAGATGGAAGGGGCACAAACTGTTTTTGTCCAGGGTGAGAGGGGTCAGCTACAATCCTTCTTGCTCGCTTCAGGGTCCTTGAAGCGAACAAGTCCTGGAGGGACGGCAGATTGCAGCCAATCACCCTCTTGGTAGAGCGAATGATGCGCTGCAGCCTGCCCTTGTCCTTGGCAGTGGCTGCAGCGTACCAGACTGTGATGGAGGAGCAGAGGATGGACTCAATGATGGCTCTGTAGAAGTGCACCATCATTGTCTTTGGCAGGTTGAATTTCTTCAGCTGCCTCAGGAAGTACATCCTCTGCTGAGCCTTTTTAGTGATGGAGCTGATGTTCAGCTCCCACTTGAGGTCCTGGGATATGATGGAGCCCAGGAAGCGGAAGGACTCCACAGTGTCGACGGGGGAGTCACACAGGGTGATAGGGGCAGGTGGGGCTGCATTCTTCCTGAAATCA